AGTTTAAAAGAAGAAGAAGAGTTTAAAAGCCGTAAAAGAGAATGGTACTATGACTTCAACTGATTTGGACACTAGACTTCTATTGATACTGCCAAGAATTGCATTGGGGTTTTTAGCAGCCGTATCACACTGTTTTCTCATCCTCAGCTTGTGGTCCACTAAGATGCCTAGATCCCTTTCTCACAGACTGTTTCCAAGCATAATGTCACCCCTCCTGAATCGCTGTATTTAGTTGTTTCTGCCAAAGTGCAGCATCTTACATTTCTCCCTGTTGAAATTCATTCAATTTTGTGAGTTTTGGTCCCGCTTTCAAATCTGCTAAGGCCATTAAGTATTGGACGTTTTCGTTTTGGTGGTTCAGAACATCCACCTCCTTGTGGGTTCTTCTTGGGCGAGAAGCCAGTGTCCTGTTCCACCAGAGAGACATTTTACTCAGGAGGAAATGCAGGAGGCCTGTCCTTACTTAATGGGTTGCTGTTGTTGTTGTTATTTTCTGCATACTTTCCATTTTTACACTTAAGCTTCCATCTTGTCTTTACTAATAATATAATATAGTATACTGTATATACATATAATATTTATAATATTATAATGTAATACAATATAATACTAGTAATTTATTTATTTATTTATCGTGTCAGGAATATACCAAACAGTTGCATTGCATTTTTTAACAAACAAACAAACAAACAAACAGACAGACAGACAGACAGACAGACAAAACACAAAGTTTGCAAGCTTGGTAGTTGATTAAATGTCCTTTGACCAGTATCTGGCCACTTGGAGTGCCTCTGGTGTTGCTGCAAGAAGGTCCTCCATTGTGCATGTGGCAGGGCTCAGGTTGCATTGCAGCAGGTGGTCAGTGGTTCGCTCTTCTCCACACTCGCATGTCGTGGATTCCACTTTGTGGCCCCATTTCTTGAGGTTGGCTCTGCATCTCGTGGTGCCAGAGCGCAGTCTGTACAGCGCCTTCCAAGTCGTCCAGTCTTCTGTGTGCCCAGGGGGCAGTCTCTCATTTGGTATCAGCCATTGATTGAGGTTCTGGGTTTGAGCCTGCCACTTTTGGACTCTCGCTTGCTGAGGTGTTCCAGTGAGTATCTCTATAGATCTTAGAGAACTATTTCTTGATTTAAGGCATTGGCGTGCTGGCTGATACCCAAACAGGGGATGAGCTGGAGATGTCCCTGCCTTGGTCCTTTCACTATTGGCTGATACTTCCCAGCGGATGTCAGGTGGTGCAATACCAGCTAGACAGTGTAATTACTCCAGTGGTGTAGGGCGCAGACACCCCGTGATAATGCGGGGGGACATGAGAGAAGCCTCCTCGCAGGATTGAAAGACATCCGGGCATCCTCTGGGCAACGTCTTCGTAGACGGCTGATTCTCTCACTCCAGAAGCAACTTGCAGCATGCAAACAAGCAAGCAAAACCACCAACGGACCTTTTTAGGACCAACCATTACAATACTAGTAATAATAATACAATATTATAATTATAAATTTACATTACATGTAATATTACTAATAATATTACAATATAATGGTATAGTGCAATATAGTAATATATAATACTGATATTGTACTATGCTAATAATATAATATATCATATGAAAATATATCTTGTAAGCTGCTCTGAGTCCCCTTCAGGGTGAGAAGGGTGGCATATAAATGCCGTAAGTAAATAAATAAACAAATACGCTGCCATATAATGAAGTTCCAACCTGAATCATATGTTGCTGATAGGGCTCATCAAACTAAGGACAATACAAACTATCATGTCTCCTTCTCTCAACCTTCTGTTCTGCAGGCTAAACACACCCAACTCTTCCAGACACTCCTCACAGAGACTATGAATCCCTATGAAGAGCATCTGAAAGAGCTGGGTCTGATTAGCCTGCCGAAGAGAAAGTTGAGAGGGACACGAGAGGAGTCATGAATCATATGAGTAGCCATGAAGCTACAGCGCCAATCAGTGGGGGTATCTGCATAGAAGTAGTCTGGCCTTTGTTGCCTGGAGGCATCCACTGCATCATCAAGTGCTCTGCTGTGGCTGACTTCTCTGGTTGAATGAGTCTGCAGTGCCTTTTATGCTCTTTGATTCATGTCTGGACACAGAATATTAGGCACACTGGAACAACCACGTTATAGAATATAATATTATAATGTAATGCAATATAATACTAATACTATATTATAATTATATATTTATATTACATGTAATATTACTAATAATATTACAATATAATGCTATAGTACAATATAGTAATATTTAGTACTGATATTGTACTATGCTAATAACATAATATATTGTATGTATATATATCTTGTAAGCTGCTCTGAGCCCCCTTCTGGGTGAGAAGGGCGGCATATATAAATGTCATAAATAAATAATCAAATAATGTTTGTTAATTGCAACATTCACACTGGCTTCCAACAGACAAGGGTTCTTCCTCCCACCTTGGACATCATTCCACTGAGGGTGCCTCCAGGCAACAAAGGCCAGGCGACCTCTTTGCAGATACCCTCATGATTAACTTTGCAAACTTCATGGCTGCTGAATGCTATTTAAGCTTGCTAACTGAAACATTCACACTGGCTTCAAACAGGCAAGAGTTCTGACTCCCACCCTGGACATCCCAAGCAGAGGATACCCCCAGGGAGCAACCAGCTAGGCTTTGCAACTGCAAGGCTACTCAATGCTGATCAAGCTGGCTAATTGCAACATTCACACAGATTTCAAGCAGGCAAGGGTTCTGACTCCCCACCCTGGACATCATTCCACTGAGGGTGCATCCAGGCAACAAAGGCCAGGCGACCTCTTTGCAGACAACCTCGTGATTAACTTTGCAAACTTCATGGCTACTGAATGCTATTTAAGCTTGCTAACTTCAACGTTCACACTGGCTTCAAACAGGCAAGGGTTCTGACTCCCACCCTGGACATCCCAAGCAGAGGATACCCTCAGGGAGCAACCAGCCAGGTTTTGCAACTGCAAGGCTACTCAATGCTGATCAAGCTGGCTAATTGCAACATTCACACAGATTTCAAGAAGGCAAGGGTTCTGACTCCCACCCTGCACATCATCCAGGCAATGTCTATGCAGATACCTTTATGATTAACTTTGCAAACTTCATGGCTACTCAATGCTGCTCAAGCTTACTAACTGCAACATTCACACTTGCTTCAAACAGGCAAGGGTCCTTCCTCCCACCCTGTACATCCCAAGCAGAGGATACCCTCAGGGAGGGAGCAACAGCCAGGCTTTGCAACTGCAAGGCTACTGAATGCTGTTCAAGCTGGCTAACTGCAACATTCACACTAGCTTCAAACAGATATGGGTTGTTCCACCCTGTACACCATTCCACAGGTATGTATGTATATATATCTTCTATATAAATAAAAATGTAATGTTCGTTTGTGGGATTAACATAACTCAAAAGCCACTGGATGAATTGACACCAAATTTGGACACAAGACACCTAACAACCCAATGTATGTCCTTCACTCAAAAAAAGCAGCAGAAAGAAATTAAAAACCAAAAAAGCTAGGTAGGTAGATCAATCAATCAGGGTGGCTGCTGGGAGAAGGAGATAAAGGGGGGAAAAAGGGAAAGATAAAGAAAGGGGAAAGGAAGGAGGTAGAGAAGGAAGGAAGGAAAGGAGGAAAGAAGGAAGGAAGGAAGGAAGAGAAGGAAGAAAGGAGAGTAAGAAAGGAGGAGAGAAGGTTGGCTACAGCAATGCATAGCAGGTACAGCTGGCGATATCTATATCAGTGTTTCTCAACCTTCCTAATGCCACGACCCCTTAATACACTTCCTCATGTTATGGTGACCCCCAACCATAAAATTAGTTTCGTTGCTACTTCATAACTGTCATTTTGCTGCAGTTATGAATAGTAACGGATTGGGGGAGGGGATTGATTTTGTCCTGTGGGAGTTGTAATTGCTGGGATTTATAGTTCACCTACAATCAAAGAGCATTCTGAACTCCACCAACGATGGAACTGAATCAAACTTGGCACACAGAATTCCCATGACCAACAGAAAATACTGGAAGGGTTTGGTGGGCACTGACCTTGAGTTTTGGGAGTTGTAGTTTACCTACATCCAGAGAGAACTGTAGACTCAAACAATGATGGATCTGGACCAAACTTGGCATGAATACTCAATATGCCCAAATGTGAACACTGGTGGAGTTTGGGGGAAATAGACCTTGACATTTGGGAGTTGTAGTTGCTGGGATTTATAGTTCACCTACAATCAAAGAGTATTCTGAACTCCACCAATGATAGAATTGGGCCAAACTTGGCACACAGAACCCCCGTGACCAACAGAAAATACTGTGTTTTCTGGTGGTTTTTGGTGACCCCTCTGACACCCCCTCATGACCCCTCCAGGGGTCCCGACCCACAGGTTGAGAACACTGGATTATATAAATAGAAATGCAATGTTCGTTTGTGGGATTAACATGACTCCAAAAACCACTGGAGGAATTGACACCAAATTTGGACACAAGACCCCTCTCAGGCCTACGAGTGACCATCACTCATAAACACACTGAAAAACACAGCAGAAGGGACTTAGAAAGTATATAAAAAAAGGCATCACAATACTTGTGCAAAACCACATATAGACATGTCAAACACACATACACAGACAGGGCCACAGCAACGTGTGGCAGGAGACGGCTAGTATACACACACACACACACACACACGCACACACACACACACACACACACACACACATATATATATATATATATATATATATATATATATATATATGATAATACCGAGATACTTTCGGATAGGTAGCTTGGGCCAGAACCCAAGTTACCTATCCGAACATACACACACACACTATTTACTTCAGTGCCACCAACCAGAACCTCTGAAAAGGGCCTTAGCCACAGATGCAGGCGAAACGTCAGGGGAGAATGCCCCCCAAGGCCCCCTCCTAGACTGAGGCCCTCCCTCCCGGTGTCCCCCCCGCTGTCTCACCAGGCCGCGCGGAGAGGCCCTGGCCCGTGGGTAGGCCGCGTCGCCATAGCAACCCCCGGGACGGTCCCGCGCCAGGCCAGGCCAGGCCGCGTCACCGCCGCATCTTCCTCCTCCTCCTCCCTCTCGTCACCGCCAGGGCCCCGTGACCTCACGCCGTGACGTCACCACGCGGACGGAAGGAAGGAAAGAAGGAGGGCCTCCTCATCCCTTCCTCCCTTGCCTTGTCTTCCTCCGAAATCACAGCTAGAGCAGGACAAGGACCCGGATGGAGGAACCGGAAACGGAAGAGACTGCTTTCCGCCTCCGCTCGCCTCCGATTGGCCGCCTCGGGAAGGTTGAGGGGATCATGGGAAATGGAGTTTTCTCCTAGACTCCTCCCCGGCGCCATTTTGTCGCTGGGAAAGAGCTCTCGCGAGGGAGGCGCCAAATCCCGCGCCGTGAGTGGCTCTCGCGATAAATGCGGGCTAGGCCTCATCCTCAGAAGGCAGCCAGGCAGAAGAAACATTGGGCCTACTCACACAATAACCTAAACTTTGGCCCTCCTGGTGTTTTGGACTCCAACTCCCAGCATTCCTAATACAGGCCTGGGCCAACTTGGGCCTTCCCTCCAGGTGTTTTGGACTCCAACTCCCAGCATTCCTAATACAGGCCTGGGCCAACTTGGGCCTTCCCTCCAGGTGTTTTGGACTCCAACTCCCAGCATTCCTAATACAGGCCTGGGCCAACTTGGGCCTTCCCTCCAGGTATTTTGGACTCCAACTCCCACAATTCTAATACAGGCCTGGGCCAACTTGGGCCTTCCCTCCAGGTGTTTTGGACTCCAACTCCCAGCATTCCTAATACAGGCCTGGGCCAACTTGGGCCTTCCCTCCAGGTGTTTTGGACTCCAACTCCCAGCATTCCTAATACAGGCCTGGGCCAACTTGGGCCTTCCCTCCAGGTGTTTTGGACTCCAACTCCCACAATTCTAATACAGGCCTGGGCCAATTTGGGCCTGCCCTCCAGGTGTTTTGGAGTCCCAACTCCCACCATTCCTCACAGACTCAGGCTCCTTCCTTTTCCCCAGTTGGATCCTACAATCCTAGAGTTGGAAGAGACCTCGTGGGCCATCCAGTCCAACCCCATTTTGCAAAGAAGCAGGAATATTGCATTCAAAGCACCCCTGACAGATGGACTTCAGGAAGATACTCCACTTTGGCAGAAAAAAACGAAATGCAAAGAGACAGAATGGGGGGCGATGGCAGGCTCAAGAGCAGGACGTGTGAAAAAGATCTTGAGGTCCTCGTGGACAACAAGTGAAACATGAGCCAACAATGTGATGCGGCAGCAAAAAAAGCCAATGGGATTTTGGCCTGCATCAAGAGGAGCCTAGTGTCTAGATCCAGGGAAGTCCTGCTCCCCATGCTCTATTCTGCCTTGGTCAAACCACACCTGGAATCACATTGTGTCCAATTCTGGGCACCACAATTGAAGAGAGATATTGACTGGAATGTGTCCAGAGGAAGAGGGCGACTCAAATGACCAAGGGTCTGGAGAACAAACCCTATGAAGAGCAGCTTAAAGAGCTGGGCATGTTTAGCCAGCAGAAGAGAAGGCTGAGAGGAGACATGATTTTTATTTATTTATTCATTTGTTGTGTCAGAGCAGCCAGTCCATTATATTACATTTCTAACAGAACAAAGCAAACAAACAGAAAAATACACAACTTGTGAGCTTGGTAGTTGGTTAAATGTCCTTTGACCAGTATCTGGCCCCTTGGAGTGCCTCTGGTGTTGCCGCAAGGAGGTCCTCCATGGTGCATGTGGCAGGGCTCAGGGTGCATTGCAGCAGGTGGTCAGTGGTTTGCTCTTCTCCACACTCGCATGTCGTGGATTCCACTTTGTGGCCCCATTTCTGAGGTTGGCTCTGCATCTCGTGGTGCCAGAGCGCAGTCTGTTCAGCGCCTTCCAAGTCGCCCAGTCTTCTGTGTGCCCAGGGGGGAGTCTCTCATCTCGTATCACCCACGGATTGAGGTGCTGGGTTTGAGCCTGCCACTTTTGGACTCTCGCTTGCTGAGGTGTTCCAGCGAGTGTCTCTGTAGATCTAAGAAAACTATGTCTTGATTTAAGTCGACGACTTAATAATAATAATGCAGGATACTCCACTTCGGCAGAAAAAAAATGCAAAGATACAGAATGGGGGACGATGCCTGGCTCGAGAGCAGGACGTGTGAAAAAGATCTTGGAGTCCTCGTGGGGAGGAAGGTAAACATGAGCCAGGAATGTGATGTGGGCAAAAAAAGCCAATGGGATTTTGGCCTGCATCAAGAGGAGCCTAGTGTCTAGATCTAGGGAAGTCATGCTCCCCATGCTCTATTCTGCCTTGGTTAGACCACATCTGGAATATTGTGTCCAGTTCTGGGCACCACAATTCAAGAGAGATATTGACAAGCTGGAATGTGTCCAGAGGAAGAGGGCGACTCAAATGACCAAGGGTCTGGAGAACAAGCCCTATGAGGAGCGGCTTAAGGAGCTGGGCATGTTTAGCCTGAAGAAGAGAAGGCTGAGAGAGACATGATGAGGGCCATGTATAAATATGTGAGAGGAAGCCACAGGGAGGAGGGAGCAAGCTTGTTTTCTGATTCCCTGGAGACTAGGACGCGGAACAATGGCTTCAAACTACAAGAGATTCCATCCTGGGGGTCGGGACCCCTGGGGGGGTCATGAGGGGGTGTCAGAGGGGTCGCCAAAGACCATCAGAAAACATAATATTTTCTGTTGGTCATAGGGGTTCTGTGTGGAAAGTTTGGTCCAATTCTATCGGTGGTGTTCAGAATGCTCTTTGATTGTAGGTGAACTATAAATCCCAGCAACTACAAGTTTATTTTCCCAAAACTCCCCCAATGTTCATATTTGGGCATATTGAGTATTCATGCCAAGTTTGGTCCAGATCCATCATTGTTGGAGTCCACAGTGCTCTCTGGATGTAGGTGAACTAGAACTTCAAAACTCAAGGTCAAGGCCCACCGGACCCTTCCAGTATTTTCTGTGGGACTTCTGTGGGAGTTCTGCATGCCAAGTTTGGTTCAATTCCATTGTTGGTGGAATTCATATTTAACTATAAATCCCAGAAACTCTCAAATGACAAAATCACATACCCCCAACCCCACCAGTATTCAAATATCGGGTTTTTGTGCCAAATGTGGTCCAGTGAATGAAAATGCCTCCAGCGTATCAGATATTTACATTATGATTCATAACAGTAGCAAGTTTACAGTTATGAAGTAACAACAAAAATAATGTTATGGTTGGGGATCACCACAACATGATTAACTGTATCAAGAGGTCGCGGCATTAGGATGGTTGAGAAACACTGAACAACAGGGTGAGGCAGCATAACTTCCTTTTTTAAAACGTGCGCCATTCAGTCGGTTGAAGACGTAGCGGAGCGCTAGTGGTCTCGTTTGAGAGGCGGGAGTATAAAGTTTTCTCCTGACACAGTTCAATTGCCACCATGCGTTGGAACAGTGTGGAGTGTGCTTTTGCCGTTGAGGCCGACTTTTCGAGCAGATTTGGATTGGCCGGCCCGCTCTCCACATTTGACCCTGTGTGATTTTTTTTCTATGGGATTTTTTGAAATCCCCCGTTTATGTGAACCGTCCAAGGACCCTACAAGATTTGAAGACCAACATCCAGGAAGAAATTGCCAATATAACGCCTGCTATGCTGGCAAGAGTCATGACAACGCCAGAAATTGGTTTACTCGGTGTATGGAGAATGGGGGACGTCACCTACCTAATTTGATCTTCAAAACTACGTAAAACAAAACTTTAGATATGCACTTACATTATAAAAAAATAAACATTCTGATTCATAAAATGGGTTTTATTAAGTTTTGAAAAAAGGAAGTTATGCTGCCTCACCCTGTACAAGAAAAGAGATTCCATCTGAACATGAGGAAGGACTTCTTGACTATGAGAAGGGCTGTTTAGCAGTGGAACTCTCTGCCCCAAAGTGTGGTGGAGGCTCCTTCTATGGAGGCGTTGAAGTAGAGGCTGGATGGCTATCTTTTGGGTGTGCTTTGAATGCGATGGTCTTGCTTCTTGGCAGAATGGGGTTGGACTGGATGGCCCACCAGGTCTCTTCCAACTTTATGATTCTGTCATAGTTCCTGGCCACATCCGTTGTTTTAGAAATCCGATTTCAAGCACCCAAAATGGGTCCAGTCATCAAGGATCCTCTCCGGCCCCAAAGACACCTTCACCACCTGATTGGTAGCCTCCAGGAATGTAAATCATCTACCGGACAGATGGCAAGCTGTTTAACCTCAGCAGACTGAAAGCCAAAACCAAGGTTACAACAACCTCTGTTATAGAACTCCAGTATGCTGATGACAATGTTGTCTGTGCGCATTCAGAAGAAGATCTACAAGCCACTCTAAACACCTTTGCAGAAGCATATGAGAGGCGGACAAACGTCAGCGTGCTGGAAGAAGCAAAGACCACCAGCATTGAAGTGATGGTCCTCCGCCATCAACTCCACTGGACCGGCCATGTTGTGCCCGACCACCGTCTCCCAAAGCAGTTGCTCTACTCCGAACTTAAGAACGGAAAACGGAATGTTGGTGGGCAGGAAAAGAGATTGAAAGATGGGCTCAAAGCCAACCTTAAAAACTCTGGCATAGACACTGAGAACTGGGAAGCCCTGGCCCTTGAGCGCTCCAGATGAAGGTCAGCTGTGACCAGCAGTGCTGCAGAATTTGAAGAGGCACAAATGGAGGGTGAAAAAGAGAAACGTGCCAAGAGGAAGGCACGTCAAGCTCAAGCCAACCGGGACCGCCTTCCACCTGGAAACCAATGCCCTCACTGCGGGAGAACATGCAAGTCAAGAAGAGGGCTCCACAGCCACATACGGACCCACCAGAAAACTGATCCTGGAAGACTATCCTACTCGGCCAACGAGGGATCGCCTAAGTAAGTAAGTAAGTAAGTAAGCAAGCTGTACATAGCATCCATTCTGCAGAGTGAATAAAATCTCTGTCTGCTTGCCTTCAACCTGGTGCGGATCTTCTTCATTTGGCTGCAAATCACTTTAGTTAGCATTTCCTGCCAGGCTCTAACAAAATCAGGAAATTCTCTGCCCTTTGGGAGACTACAGGTTTTGGCAACAATACCACTTGGGCCAAACTAACCACCACATACACCTGGCCTTCTCTAGAGGCTGGTCACTGATCTGGACTTCCGTACAAAATAGGTGGGAGGAAACGGAATCAATCAGCCACCACTTGACCGCCCATATGGTCAGCAAGGTCACTAAGGGAGAGGCCTTGCTGGGAAATGTTTAACACTCCGGATGGGTTTGTTTGTTTGCATCGTTCTGGTGGGAACTCTGCTTGCTTTGCAGTTCAAAGGCAGCAAGCAGCTCAATTCCTGAAAAGAAGAAGCTGAAGGTCGAACGGTGAAGGTGGGAAGGACCTCCAATGTCAACAGAGCTGAAGGAGGGCCACAGCTTGTTCCACATCATTTCAGAGAAAGCAGTCTGCAGGCTTTGCTTCTCTTGAAGATCATCTCCTCTCTGTCTCGTTCTCTTGTTCTTTGCTTCATCTGGACTCCAGCCGTGTCCACACCAGAGCCTTTTACAACTGTGGAGTCATTGTTCTCACGCCTCTCATTTGGCAACCTTGAAATTGTGTTTTGGAACTATTTCCCTGAAAATAAGGTTATTGGCTGTTTCCTTATTTGATAAAGTCCCACAGAAAAGAATTAGAGCAAAGGGGATTCCACGAAAAAGAGACCATCTAACCCACTGTCTTGATCCTCAAACACTCTTTGCTTCGTTCAGAAAAATGCTGCACTCGCAGAGCTCAGGCGATGTTGAATTTCAGTGTCAATGTTGACTTTTGTGGAGAGGTGGCTGCCAAGGTAGTGGAAATGGTCAACATTTTCTAATGTTACACCATTAAGCTGTATTTCTGGCATTGGAGAGGGATTGGCTGGTGACTGCTGGAAGAGCACTTTGGTTTTCTCTCAATGACAGGCCAAGCTTCTCGTATGCTGCTGCGAAGGTGTTTAGAGTGGCTTGAAGGTCTTCTGAATGCGCACAGACAATGTTAGAATCATATAGAATCATTGAATATTAGAGTTGGAAGAAACCACATGGGCCATCTAGTGCAACCCCCCGCCATGCAGGAAAACAATAGTCCACGGTAGTCCACGCTCTGGTTACATCCCGTTTAGACTACTGTAACGCTCTCTACGTGGGGTTGCCTTTGAAGACGGCTCGGAAGCTTCAATTGGTTCAACATTCGGCAGCCATGATACTAACAGGAGCGGACTACAGGGAGCATACAACTCCTCTGCTGCACCAGCTCCACTGGCTGCCGATTGCTACCGGGCCCAATTCAAAGTGCTGGCGTTGGCCTTTAAAGCCCTAAACGGTTCTGGCCCAACTTATCTATCCGAACGTATCTCGGCCTATCAGCCCACCAGGACCCTAAGATCTTCTGGGGAGGCCCTGCTCTCGATCCCGCCTGCATCACAGGCACGTTTGGCGGGGACGAGGGACAGGGCCTTCTCAGTGGTGGCCCCCCGGCTGTGGAACGCCCTTCCCATGGACATTAGATCAGCCCCCTCGTTAATGGTGTTTCGAAGAAGACTGAAGACCTGGCTGTTTGAACAGGCGTTTGGATAAACAGTGCTATGAATATAATGAATATAGGAAAACGGAATTACGGATGACGAGTTGGATCACGATTCTAGTTACGAGATGTTAATGTGTTGTCTATTGATGTGTAATTACTCAGTATATTACGGTGTTAATTGTTTTTAAATAGTGTATGTTGTATTGAATTCTTGCTCTTGTTGTTAACCGCGTTGAGTCGCCTACGGGCTGAGAAACTGCGGTATACAAATAAAGTAAATAAATAAATATATAAATAAAACAAGCACAAGTATAGGGTGTAGGACAAATAGAAGAGAATAGAAGAATTTTATTGTCATTGTACATCGCACGACATAATTAAATGCCTTCCCCAATCACATTATATATGTACAAATTACAAAACAAAGCGCTCTCACAATTGCACAACCCCTAATGCCACATCAGTGTGAAACCACAGAGTTCAATATAGTCACAGCTTTAGGATAAAAGCTCTCTCTCAGCCTATTTGTCCTTGTTTTTAATCATCCTATTGCTGCCAAATGGCCACAATTCAAAAGAAGACTATCCAGGGTGAAATGGATCCTTAAGAATCAGGAGAGAGTGCTTCTGGAACATGGCCATCCAGTCCGAAAAACTCTCAGCAACCCAGTGATTCCAGCCATGAAAGCCTTTGACAACACGTCCTTAAGAATATTTTGAGCTTTTTTAAGGCAGCGGGAATTATATTGTTCTTCCAGGGAGGGTGGAGGCCAATCCATAATATTCGGCACAGCCCATCTACCGCTGTGCAATTGGCAAACCATACGCAGATGCAATAAGTTATCACACTCTCTGTAGCACAATGGGAGAAAGTCACCAGCAGTTTCTCATTCGCTTGTTGGCTCGTTAAAAGTCTCAGATAACACAATCTCTGCTGGGCCCTCTTAACCATCGACCGCTAATTAGAAACATGTACGGCATGGAAGAACCACAACAAACAACATGCGAGCACAGGATGAAAAACATCCCGAAAGGAAATGTTTCGTAAGACCGACTGGCTTTGTGCCTTGTCAGCACCACGTGACTCCTCTGTGCAAATAATAATTTAAAAAGAAGTTCCTGTTTTTCCCTTCCAAAATCAGTTTCTTTTGTGGCGTGAGAGATTGCGACACTTTCTGGACAACCAGGACTTGGGTGGTCAGGCTGTGGTCCCATTGACGGCCAGCAGACACCTCTCCCGTCCATCAGTAGCTGCACGTCTGTCCGGAAGACAACACCAGGTGGCCTTTGCTCATCCCTCTTTTTCATCTCCTGGACACAGAATCGATCACCAGATAACCGCCTCTGAGGGCAGAAGAGGAATCCACCCCGAAGGCCCAAGTTAATCACCGACCAAGCTCAACAGCGGCAGAGGGAAACCCAGACACCCAGGCTCAGGAAACATCTGCTTTGGAGGATGAAGTGGCTGCTGGCCTTATGCGGGGGCCTCCTGGCTCTGGCTGGGGCCAACCAGTCCCCCGTCCAGCAACGGGCGCTGGACATTGTGCTGGAGTACTTCCACGGCCGGAGCTTTGTGCAGTCGGTCTTCAAGGAACAAGTCGTGACCGAAGTCGCCAAGGAGGTGAGGGAGACCCTTCGTAAAAAGGGATGAGGGGCCTGAAGGGAGGGCAGGGGGCTTCCCAAAAGGGGGAAAGACTCTTGAAATCCTGTCTCAAGGAAAGCAGCACCAAGGGAACAATGGTGGGGAGCATGCCCTCCATTTGTTGGGGGTGTTTTGGGACATGGTTTTCTGAGATGCAGCTGCCTTGTCTGGTTCAACACAGCAGAAGAAGACCAACATCACTCTGTAGTAGACTCATGTTCAGCTTATGGTCTACTTGGAGAAGGAAGGAAGGAAGGAAGGAAGGAAGGAAGGAAGGAAGGAAGGAAGGAAGGAAGTCAAGGCTTGCAGGACAGCAGAAGAAGACCAACATCCCTCTGTAGTGGACTCATGTTCAGCTTATGGTCTACTTGGAGAAGGAAGGAAGGAAACCAAGTCTTGCAGGACAGCAGAAGAAGACCAATATCACTCTGTAGTAGACTCATGTTCAGCTTATGGTCTACTTGGAGAAGGAAGGAAGGAAGGAAGGAAGTAAGTCAAGGCTTGCAGGACAGCAGAAGAAGACCAACATCCCTCTGTAGTGGACTCATGTTCAGCTTATGGTCTACTTGGAGAAGGAAGGAAGGAAACCAAGTCTTGCAGGACAGCAGAAGAAGACCAATATCACTCTGTAGTAGACTCATGTTCAACTTATGGTCTACTTGGAAAAGGAAGGAAGGAAGGAAGGAAGGAAGGAAGGAAGGAAGGAAGGAAGGAAGTCAAGGCTTGCAGGACAGAAGAAGAAGACCAACATCACTCTGTAGTAGACATGTTCAGCTTATGGTTTACTTGGAAAAGGAAGGAAGGAAGGAAGGAAGGAAGGAAGGAAGGAAGGAAGGAAGGAAGGAAGGAAGTCAAGGCTTGCAGGACTTGAGGTTCTCCTACAGCTCTGGCATAGGACTCCTAGCTCTTATATTCCTAACAACTGGTAGGAATTGTGGGAGTTGAAGTCCAAAACATCTGGAGGGAGTGCCCAAGTTTGCCATTATTATTATTATTATTATTATTATTATTATTATTTATATTTATTTATTTGCTTTATTTCTATACCGCATTTTTCAGCCCTTAACGGGCGACTCAATGCGGTTTACATGGTACAATTATCAAACAGTGTCAGTGCAATTAAAACATAACAATGCAACAAACAGGATCAACAGCATCAATCCACAACAGTTAACAATCAACAAGACAGATCAACAAAACAGACATAACATAACGCCTCAGTTGAAATCAGATCCGTTCTCATAATCCTTGTGCCATTCCTATGTTCCATTTACCGTCTTCCTATGATTGGTTGCACTGCTTAACCAAACGCTTGTTCATAAAGCTAGGTCTTAACCATTCTCCGAAACGTCAGCAACGAAGGTGCCTGTCTGATGTTTGCCGGTAAGGCATTCCATAGCCGAGGGGCCACCACTGAGAAGGCCCTGTCTCTCGTCCCCACCAAGCGTGCGACGCCGGCGGGACCAAGAGCAGGGCCTCCCCGGACGATCTTAAAGTCCTCGTCGGTTCATAGGTGGAGATGCGTTCGGAGAGGTAAGTGGGGCCGGAACCCGTTTAGGGCTTTATAGGCTAAAGCCAGCACCTTGAATTGTGCCCGGTAGCGGATTGGCAGCCAGTGGAGCTGGCTCAACAGAGGAGTGGTATGCTCCCTGAGTGCCGCTCCCGTTAGCAACCTGGCTGCCGAGCGCTGGACCATCTGAAGCTTCCGGGCAGTCTTCAAGGGCAACCCCACATAGAGCGCGTTGCAGTAATCAATCCGGGATGTAACCAGAGCGTGGACTACCGTGGCCAAGTCAGACTTCCCAAGGTACGGGTGCAGCTGGTGCACAAGTTTTAATTGTGCAAAAGCTCCCCTGGCCACCACCGAAACCTGGGGATCCAGGCTCAGCGATGAATCCAGGATCACACCCAAGCTGCGAACCTGCTTCTTCAGGGGGAGTGTAACCCCGACACAGGCTGTAACCCTATACCCTGTTCGGCCTTTCGACTGACCAGGAGTGCCTCTGTCTTATCTGGATTCAGTTTCAATTTGTTAGCCCTCATCCAGTCCGACACAGCGGCCAAGATATTATTATTATCTTTATTTGTACCCTGCTAGCATCCCCCGAAGCATCCCCCGAAGGCCAAGGCCTCAAAACACAACATAACAATACAAAACCTAAAGCAAATTAAAAACAGTTAAAGCAATATTAACAACAAGCAGTAAACAATACATCAAGACACTATAAAACTGGGCCGGGCCAGAGTAATGGGTACAGGATTAAAAGTGCTGATGTGACAGGTGATATGTAAGGATTATAGGGTAAGTGCAGTGTGCACTTACCCTATGCCTGACCTATGTGCAAGAGATATTCTGTACAAAACAGGAACTGTAATGTTCTTGGAACTTTGACTCCTGCGAGCGTGCAGTATGGTCTCCTGGGACTTATGGTCCAAACTGGCCACTTTTCTAAGCTTGGTTTAAATGACTGTTTCTCTCCAGTGACATTTATGCACAGGCATGGCTATTTTAATGCTCTAACCTGGGTCTTGTTTGCTTGCAGGAGTCTTCGACCGGGACCTACATCCACCTGGAAGTTGAACTTGCACAGACGCACTGCAGGAAGCAGCGGAGGGCACAAAACTGCCCGGTCAAAGCAGGAGGGGTGAGACAAAAACCATTTTATCGCAAGGCATCTACCTCATAAAGATTCTATTTAACTCTCTACATAGCTTTTATCTTTCTTTGTTTACTTTCTTTTTATACGAATACATTTATTTTTGGAGATCCAGTTCTCATAAATCCACCAATGGTTTAGTTAACAAAGTATTTAGATGTGTGCCTGAGCATTACATCTTTCATAGAAAGTGTGGTACTGCAAGTGGAAGTAATATAGAAAGCACATCCTTTGATGAAAGAATTGCGTGGGAGGACCAAGAGGTTTCCAGAGGCAAAATGTCTCTACACATCTGTAGGTCCTCCAATGTGGCCAACATCTGGAAGAACTTGACCATAACTTTATGCTGGAGGATCTAGAGATTTCTAGAGAAGTGTTCTCTCAGGTTAAAATAAAAATCTTTGTGGGTTGTTGTAGGTTTTTCGGGCTATATGGCCATGGTCTAGAAGCATTCTCTCCTGATGTTTCACCTGCATTTATGGTAGGCATTTAATATTTTGAGAGGGAAATCAAGGAAGAGAAGGAGTGACACGATATGGTGCTCTACTCCTGGCCAGTTTGGATGGCCACTTGGTACCTCTTTTGAAAGCAGTCACATTTCTCTTACTGGTCCCTTTCCCTTTCCCCTTCCCTTCCCTTCCTTTCTCCAGAGGAGACAGATCTGCTTGGCTTGCTTCTCCTTTGACCTCAGGAGCCCAGACCACATCCTGGACAAGTCGATGCACTGCATGTCACAGAAGAGCTCAGTTTTACAGGTGAGTCTTCCTTGAATGATAGAATCAAAGAGTTGGAAGGGACCCCCCAATCAATTCCTTGGGGAGCTTCGCCCTTTCTCCAGGTCCTGGATGGAGGAATTCTTGATGCAGAAACCCATGGATTGGGCCTGCTTTGGCCCAGAGGCTTGGCATCTCATCTGTGCCCTTTGGGTTGTCCCCAGGAGACGAAGAGGAGGCACGCCGAAGAGTGTGAAAAGGTCAAAAAAGCCAATGGATTGTACCTGCCAGGCCAGTTTGCCTTTTCCAGGGGGCTTCCGTGAGGCAAAGGGTCAGTACTCTGGTTTATTTATTTCATATCAAAAGCATTGCATAAATTAGTATAAATCTGATAAAACTAGAAGGATCACAGGTGGTTAAATATCTTTTGACCAAAAACGGGCAACAGCAATGGCATTGTATTGTTGAAGGCTTTCATGGCCGGAATCACTGGGTTGTTGTAGGTTTTTCCGGGCTATATGGCCATGTTCTGGAGGCAATTTTTCTCCTGACGTTTCGCCAGCATCTACCTCTGAGGATGCTTGCCATAGATGCAGGCAAAACATCAGGAGAAAAATTGCCTCCAGAACATGGCCATATAGCCCAGAAAAACCTACAACAACCCAGCAATGGCATTGTCTGTAGCCTCCAACTATTCTTCCTCTGTACATGAGGCAGGGCACAGTGGACAAGCATACAGATGCGGAGTTATCTGTTCTGCTTCACAGTCACACAAGGTGTGGGATTCTCCTAGATAGTGCCATTTTGCCAGGTTGTCTTTTGATCTGCCCACTCCACTTCTAAGTCTGTTCAGGGACTTCCAAGTTGCCCATTCTTGGTTTGCCCATTCTGGAGGAAGACCCTCTCTCGTGGGGGGCTGTCCAGTTGGGGTTTCCTGGTCTAACTACCCAGAGAGAGACCCTTGCTGTTGCTGGGGGGACGCCAAGAGGAGTGGTAGTTCTCATAAAGCTTTCCCTTGATTTGTGTCTACTGGGAGGAGGCTGGTAGCCATTAAGTGGATGGCTTTCACATGGTTCAACCTTATTTCTCTCACAGTTAGCAGCAACTTTCCATTGCACAACAAGGGCGGGGGGGGGGGCAATGCCAGCTAGCTTGTAGAGTTTATCAAGAGGTGTAGGTTTAAGACATCCTGTGATTATTCTGCATGTTTCACTCAATGCTGTGTTCACCTGCTTTGCATGGGCAGACCTATGCCAAACAGGGCAGGCATACTCGGCAGTTGAGTCAGACAAGGCCAGGGCTGAGGTTCTTACTAATTTGGGGTCTGCACCCCATGTGCTGCCAGTATGTTTCTGCAGGATGTTATTGCGTGCAGCTACTTTGTACTTGGTGCTCAAGCAGTGTTTCCTATATGCTAGTGTTTGATCATAGAATCAAAGAGTTGGAAGAGACCTCATGGGCCATCCAGTCCAACCCCATTCTGCCAATGAATGCCTATTTTCAAGATATCTCTGTTCCAGATGGTCATCACGAGTAAGGGCTCAATTCAAAGTGCAGGCTTTAGCCTATAAAGCCCTAAACAGTTCCGCCCCAGGTTACGCATCTCTTCCTACGAACCCTCCAGGAATTTGAGATCAACCGAGGAGGCCCTGCTCTCGATCCCACCTGCTTCACAAGCAAGTATGGCGGGGATGAGAGACAGGGCCTTCTCGGTGGTGGCCCCTCGGCTGTGGAACTCCCTGCCTAGGGACATTAGATCAGCCCCCTCCTTCCTGACCTTTCGGAAAAGAGTAAAAACTTGGCTCTTCAAGTAAGCATTTGGAACCTCCGAATAAATAGACAAGCTTGAATTGGAAAATGACCCAGGAACGGCCCAAGATGATGGAATGGATAAGGACTTGAATGAGAGGATATAGTTTTTAGGTTTTAATATTGTTATTATGCACTGTCTTATGACTATAATGGTTCTTTTTGGGCTGATCTGAGCGGGGTAGAAATAATGCAAATAAATGAAATAAATAAGGGACACAGAAAGGGAGGACATGCCTGGGGCACCTGGCCAAGTCAGCAGAAGGAAAGGAGAGGATGAGCCTTCCCAGTCGGCTCAGGCAAAAACAAACTGCTGCAGCCTCCCCTCTTTGGGAATCCTTATGAGTCACCTCCTTGGTCAGATTCTGATGTTATTTGGTCACCTATGTCCCCATTTCCATCTGTTTGTTGTTGGGAAGGGGGTTTGTGAGAGCCTTCTTCTGGCGTAACCCTCTCTTCTCCTCCTCTTAGATGGGACCCACGTTGAGCGGAATCTTGTTATGGAGGTAAACAGAGAGCCATCCAGTCTCGGCACCACAGGAGCAAAGCCACACGCACCTGAAGCTTCTCCCATTGACAGCTCTTTCTTAATTAAGCCTGACGCTGGGATTTTCTATTTTTCCCCCCTTTATCCCCACAATAAAATGGCACCGCCCCATTCATGATGTGTCGTTACTCCAAAGGGAATTCCTAGATTGAGATGATGCAGCCATCTTCCCTTCCCAAATTTTTCTCAGAGGCTCAGAAACTTGGTTAAAGGTTTTTGTGAGATTTTTTTTCTGGGGGAAGCAAATGGATCCTTGGCCTGTTAGAGACCCTACATTGGGTCTTCTTAGGTCCACATCACGGGAGCACGTAAGGAAGGAGACAGTCCCAAAAAAAGATCAAAAAACAAGGTTTATTTTAGTTTCTTCATGGCTAGGGCTGATGTTCTTACTAATTTGGGGTCTGCACCCCATGTTCTGCCAGTAAGTTTCCGCAGCTTGGCAGCATACGCAAATGCTACCCTTCAAGTGACTGCCACCGCCCCTGCCCCCCCAACTTGGCTTTTGTACACCGTTATATACCCTCAAGTAAGCAAGAACATTTTTTGGTCATGGAAAGTATTCTGTTTCTAGCCCCTCTCCCTTGACCTTTTGATGGAAAGTACCTTCTTGTACCTGCAGACTCTGCGCTTAACCACAACCTTTGGCTTAACCACAACACGACTACTTCCTATGTAAGCTTAAACTTTGTATGACTTCTACATATCCCATCTTGTTTCTTAAAATCATTTTCTTCCATGTTGCTCTTTTTCTACAGAGAAAGGGTATATTTCTCTTTTGCTGTTAATTTCATTCAAAGCCCCTTGCTTAGCATTTGCAAATTTCACTCAAAGACCCTTTCAGGCCCAGGACTGAAGGATATGAGAAGGGGGAGGTAGAAGCTCACAGACAGGCATCAGCTCCCAAAAATTCTCAAGTGGATATTTGCCATGAGGAAAACTATGAGCATCAGAATCCAGATTTCTGGGACAGAAGAAAAGCTTTCACGATGGGCCTATGATGTGCCTTCCAGTTCTACCCTTCCCTAATTCTCTGATTCTGACAACCAAGGAAACACAAAATTTCTCTTTCTTTCTCCCACCCTGGACCTTCCACAGATATATAAACCTCACTTGCCTAGTTTCCAACAGACCCCTCAGCCTCTGAGGATGCCTGCCGTAGATGTGGGTGAAACGTCAGGAGAGAGTGCTTCTGGAACATGGCCAGACAGCCTGGAAAACTCGCAGCAACCCAAATATAAAATTGGTCAGCTCTTTAGCCCATATTGCCTGTTAAATGTCTTGTTGAAGATGGCATATGTTCTGTATCAGAAACTAGAACTGATGTGGTCTATCCAATGCAGTTTTCTGAATCAGCACCCCAAATAACCAAACTAAAATTGACCAAAAACTGATTCGTAACCCTTTTGGTACTAAGGTTGGAAAGTAGGCATGTGTGATCCATGGTTCTAAATGGTTCTAAAGTACTTACAAAACTAGGGGGCGCTGGTGCTTTGCTTCTAAAGTGTTTCTAAAGTTCTGGTGGTGAAAATTTCAGATCGCTAACAAAACATTCAAAATTTTATTATTTTGTTAATGGTGATTTTTGTGACAGAACCAATTGGAACTGCCGTTTATAACGAAATTTTGAAAGTTTCGTTAGAGTCTTAAATTTTCGCCAACATAACGTTAGAAACAGTTTAGGAGCAAAGCACCAGCTTTAGAAACACTTTAGAAGCAAAGCACCAATTTTAGAAACACTTTAGAAGCAAAGCACCTGCTTTAGAAACACTTTAAAAGCAAAGCACCAGCTTTAGAAACACTTTAGAAGCAAAACACCAGCTTTAGAAACACTTTAGTATCATAGAGTTGGAAGAGACCTCATGGGCCATCCAGTCCACCCCCTGCCAAGAAGCAGAAATATTGCATTCAAAGCACCCTGACAGATGGCCATCCAGCCTCCTTTTAAAAGCTTCCAAGGAAGGAGCCTCCACCACACCCCAGGGCAGAGAGTTCCACTGCTGAACAGCTCTCACAGTCAGGAAGAAGCAAAGCACCAGCTTTAGAAACACTTTAGAAGCAAAGCACCAATTTTAGAAACACTTTAGAAGTGAAGCATCAGCTTTAGAAACACTTTAGAAACAGAGCAGGAGAAGGTGGCCAGTTGAAACATTCACACCTAGCTCCAGCAGAGAAAAGCTCTTTGCCCCACCCCAGCCATTCCACAGATATATAAACCCATTTTCCTAATTCCAACAGACCTCACTCCCTCTGAGGATGCTTGCCATAGATGCAGGCGAAACGTCAGGAGAAATGCCTCTAGAACATGGCTCTATAGCCCGAAAAAACCCACAAGAACCTAGAGCAGGAGCGCTCCCTAGTTTTGTAAATACTTTAGAACCTTTTAGAACTATGCATGGCACATGCCTATTGGAGAGGGGTTCCTGGTCAAGTGGATGTTGGTCAAAGTGGCCCCTGGTCAAAAAAAGTTTGGGGACTACTGCTGTAGGGACACCTCACCTGGGACAGGTTTTAGTCTGGAAGGAGAGTTCTGGGAGGACCACACAGGCACTGAGGCAGGAGGCTACTCGATGGAGAAGGTCGAGAAAAGCCAAGGCAGCTGCAGATAGAGAAACACCACGTTTATTTCACTGGGCAAAACAGACACCGTCCTCCCAGGATGGAAGAGGGGGAGGCCCCGATCCCAGGCACAGGCCCACCCTCCTTGCCGCTTCCAAGCTCTCCTGCTTCTCTGCCATTTCTCTACAGAGATCTGGAATGCCGTCCTTCCTGCCCATCCATTCAGAGCTTCCACCCTTACACTGGTTTCCTCGTGCTTAACAATCATAGCTTCGTCGTACAGAATGCTGGGTTTTGCAGTTTGATGGTGGGGGGACCTCAAACGCCAATATGTTCAGTCCTCAAACTACATATGTTGGGAGTCCACAACATGTAGTTATGACAGTTGAAGTGGTCTGAAACCGATGCAACAGTGCAGTGAGGGCTGAGGATATTCATGGCTCACTTTCTTGACACAACACAACTCTCCTTCCTGAAAAGGTCCACTCGTAAATTCAAAAGCTGCCAAAAGAGAGGCCAAGAATCAAGCATCCAGTCCCCAGGTTTAGTAAGTGCCATTTCCAGAAATCGAAGCCGTGTGGGTTGGGGACACTGGTAGAATCCACATTGTACGCAACAACAGTGCTACAATTCCCGTTAGCTTCACCCCATTGAGTCTGGAGATTTGTAGTCCGATGAAAGAGTCATTAAAGCTTCCAGGTAGAGTATCTGAAGCATCTCAGGAAAGAGCAAATCCCAGAATTGCAGAGGATGAATTCCAAGTAGCACAAAACAGATATAAGTGTATTGTGTGTCTACATCTATGGTGGTTTTGTGTTGTTTTTTTTAAAAAAACAGCTGAAGTGTTATACAGGAACGGCCAAAAAGACCCAGATGTGAGCCGAGTTGTCAGAAAGGATGTTGTGATCAGCCTATTTTTTAACAAAGTCCATGGGTACAACCTAAAGATCTGGGCATATTGTGGACTTGGGCATGGTTATTGCCATCCACTGATGATGGACTTCCAGGAAGCCCTGTCTTGGATTTCCAGGAAGCCCTGTCTTGGACTTCCGGGAAGCCCTGTCTTGGACTTCCAGGAAGCCCTGTCTCGCACTTCCGGGAAGCCCTGTCTTGGACTTCCAGGAAACCCTGTCTTGGACTTCCAAGAAGCCCTGTCTTGGTCTTCCAGAAAGCCCTGTCTTGGACTTCCAGGAAGCCCTGTCTTGGACTTCCAGGAAGCCCTGTCTTGGACTTCCGGAAGCCCTGTCTTGGACTTCCGGGAAGCCCTGTCTTGGACTTCCAGGAAGCCCTGTCTTGGACTTCCAGGAAACCCTGTCTTGGACTTCCGGGAAGCCCTGTCTTGGACTTCCGGGAAGCCCTGTCTTGGACTTCTGGGAAGCCCTGTCTTGGACTTCTGGGAAGCCCTGTCTTGGACTTCCGGAAAGCCCTGTCTTGGACTTCCAGAAAGCCCTGATTTGGACATCCAGGAAGCCCTATCCTGCGATGGGAAGAGCCCGAGAAGAGCTTGGCCCCTTCTGCGTAGTCCTTTTGAGCTGGGACAAGTTGGGAACGAAGTCATTGAGAAATGGATTAGCCAATACCAAGGAGAAGGCTTGGAGGCCCGAGAACGGTTCAGAACAGGTAGGAGCTGGAGTCGGGGCGGATGTTGAGGGCCCGCTCGGCCTGGGAGATGGTGTCGTCGGCCCGCTTGCTCAGCTCCCGGCATTCCTGGAGGGCCTCGCTGAACTGCTTGTAGGCCTCCTCCACGATGGAGCTCCTCCTGGCCGGGCGGACATCCCAGTAGCCCTCCTCCACCCAAGGCTTGCTCAGGCTGCTCAGCTCCGCGTGGCCGGCCCGGCTGGGGCTGTGGAAGCGCTTCAGGGAGTTGTCCAGGTCCTTGCAGAGCTGGTAGAGCTCGCTGCCCCGGCCGGAGACCCTCTCCCCATCGATGACCTTGACCCCGGGGAACATCTCCGCGATGGCGGCGCGGTACCCGGGGGAGGTGCAGAAGGGGTTGCTGAGGCGCCCCATGGGGTTGGCGAAGCGCATGTTCTCCAGGTGCCGCAGCCCGGTCAGGCACTGGAGCTGCTGGACACCACCGAGAAGGTTGCCGGCCGCGTTGAGGCTCTGGAGGTTCTCGCAGCCGGCCAGGGGCTCCAGGCTGGAGACGCGGTTGGAGGAGATGTTCAGGACGGCCAAGGCCTTGAGCGAGGAGAGCGGGCCCAGGTGGGAGATGGCGTTCCCAGAGAGGTCCAGCCACTCCAGGCTGGCACACTCCCCCAGGCAACCCAAGTCCGAGATGCCCAGGCCGCGCAGCTTCAGCAGCAGGATGGACTCCAGGTCAAACTCTCCCGTCTTGGCTTTCAGCAGCTGGGAGGTGATCTTCACGTTCTCAGCCGCCTCCTCGCCCTTCTCCATCTTCGGCAGGGTAACTGGGGCCACTTAGAAAGCGGAAAGAAAGCCCCACTCTCTCTTCCTTCAGCTCCGTAGCACCTTGACCATTTCACAGCCAACACCAACTATCAGCCTGGAGTGCGCCTGATCTTGATCCTTTGACTCTGCAGACGGCGCTTCCTCTGCCCTAAATGGGAATCACAAAGGGCGACATGGTTCTTGTCACTGGAGTTTCTGGAAAGGAGAAAAAAATATTTATTTATTTACTATATTTAAATCCCACCTTTCTTGCCCCCAAAGTGGACTCAAGGCGATTTAGTAAGTAAAGGTTTTCCCCTGACATTAAGTCCAGTCGTGCTCAACTCTGGTGCTCATCTCCATTTCTTAAATCAAGAAATAGTTTTCTAAGATCTACAGAGACACTCACTTGAACACCTCAGCAAGCGAGAGTCCAAAAGTGGCAAACCCAGAACCTCAATCAATGAGACATGCCGCATTATCACAGGGTGTCCGCCCTACACCACTGGAGAAATTACACTGCTTAGCCGGTATTGCACCAACTGACATCCGCCGGGAAGTAGCAGCCAATAGTGAAAGGACCAAGGCAGAGACATCTCCAGCTCATCCCCTGTTTGGGCATCAGCCAGCACGTCAACAACTTAAATCTAGAAATAGTTTTCTAAGATCTACAGAGACACTCGCTGGAACACCTCAGCAAGCGAGAGTCCAAAAGTGGCAGGCTCAAACCCAGGACCTCAACCAAGGCTGATACCAAATGAAAGATTCCCCCCTGGGCACACAGAAAACTGGGCGACTTGGAAGGCGCTGAACAGGCTGCGCTCTGGCACCACGAGATGCAGAGCCAACTTAAGAAATGGGGCTACAAAGTGGAATCCACAACATGCGAGTGCGGAGAAGAACAAACCACTGACCACCTGCTGCAATGCAACCTGAGCCCTGCCACATGCACAATGGAGGACCTTCTTGCAGCAACACCAGAGGCACTCCAAGTGGCCAGATACTGGTCAAAGGACATTTAATCAACTACCAAGCTTGCAAACTTTGTGTTTGGTTTGTTTGTTAAAAATGCAATACAACTGTTTGGTTTGCTCTTGACACGATAAATAAAAAAATATTTCTAAGCCAAAGAGCTGGCATTGTCTGTAAACACCTCCAAGGTCATGTGGCCGCTGGCATGACTGCATGTACCTATTGATCTACTCACATTTGCATGCTTTCAAACTGCTAGGTTGGCAGAAGCTGGGTCTAACAGCGGGAGCTCGCCCCGCTCCCCGGATTCAAACTGCTAACTTTTGGTCAGCAAGTTCTGCAACTCAGCGGTTTAATGCGCTGTGCCAGCGTATTGTTATGTATTTAATCTGCATGTGGCACTTGGAGTGCTTCTGTGCGCCGACCCGAGTCCCTTTGGGGAAATGGTGGTGGCGTGGTACAAATAAAGATTATTATTATTATTATTATTATTATTATTATTATTATTATTATTATTGAGGTGTGGGGCCAGCCCAGGCCACCTGACGCATGCAAGGAATATTGGCAGACTGGGCTGACAAGGAAGAGAAATGCAAATGCAAAATCGATGATGAGAGTTTGCTTCCGCAGATAAACAGATGAGCACATCTGTTTATCTGCGGCCCTGGCACAATTGAACTATTTTCATTGGTAAGCAGCTTTGGGTCCTGGTTTTGGGACACCTCCAAGGTCATGACTGCATGGAACGCTGTTACCTTCCCGCTGGAGTGGTACCTATTGATGTACTCACATTTGCATGCTTTCAAACTGCTAGGTTGGCAGAAGCTGAGGCTGACAGTGGGAGCTCACACCGCTCCCCGAATTCAAACCTGTGACCTTTCAGTCAACAAGTTTAGCAGCTCAGTGCTTTAACCCACTGTGCCCAGAAATACCGCAAATAAATAAATAAATAAATAAATAAATAAATAAATAAATAAATGCATCATCCCTCCATCATATCTGTCGCACCTCAGAATAGATTCCCCTTGCTGAAATCACCAGAACTGCACAGACTGAAGTCTTTGTAGTTTATTAAAAAGTAAAAGATGAAAAGTTTAAGAAGCAAGCAGTGTTTCAAAGATCAATAAAACATAACACTGTAAAGCAGAATTCCAAATGGCACCAACAAAACAAAGTCCTGTGAGAACATGACAAAATCCCAAGACCATGGACACAGGAAAATGAGCACAAGCTGCTTGGTGGAGCGAGAAGTTGCTCTGACCAAGGTTTGTTTTCAAGCACACTGCTTAATACCCTTTGCAATACAGGAAAGCATTTCTTTGGCCTCTGACCTCCTTCTTGTTGGCTATTCTCACACTCCTTCGAACTCTGAATTCCAAACGGTCAGCCCGATCGAAGATTCCGGTTTCCTCAAGGTCAGGCTGCTCATTGGTGTCAGCCTGCTTGCCTCTTCCTGCTTACTCTCAGGCTGAGAACTGTCCTCCTTTTCTGAGTCAATCTGCACCTGGCTCGTTTCAGTATCAACAACATCCTTCCCTGCTGTGGGAAACTGACCTTGCACCTCCTGCTCCTCATTGTCTACAACAGGAACATTTTGAGCCTGATTGTGAACCTGAATCCCATCATCCTCGTCGGAGTCACTCTGAGACCCCATCTGAGTCACAACACTATCAGTCTGTGTCTGTGGTTCCAGCTGAGTCACAACAATATATTGCATATACCTGGGGGTCGGGACACCTGTGGGGATCGCGAGGGGGTGTCAGAGAGGTCACCAAAGACCATCAGAAAACATAGTATTTTCTCTTTGTCATGGATGTTCTGTGTGGGAAGTCTGGTCCAATTCTATCATTGGTGGGGTTCAGAATACTATTTAATTGTGGGTGAACTATGAATCCCAACAACCACAACTCCCAAATGGCAAGGTCTATTTTCTCCAAAGTCTACCAGTGTTCACATTTGGGCATACTGAGTATCTGAGCCAAGTTTGACCCAGATCCATCACTGTTTGAGTCTGCAGTGTTCTCTGGATTTAGGTGAACTACAACTCCAAAAACTCAAGGTCAGTGTCCACCTGACTCTCCCAGTATTTCTCTTGGCCATGGGAATTCTGTGTGCCAAGTTTGATTCAATTCCATCATTGGTGGAGTTCAGAAGGCTCTTTGATTTTAGGTGAACTATAAATCCCAGCAACTCCAACATTCCCAAATGACAAAATCAATTCCTTCTCCAACCCCACCAGTATTCAAATTTGGGCATATTAGGTATTTGTGCCAAATTTGGTCCAGTGACTGAAAACACACCCTGCATATTCGATATTTATATTACGATTCATAACAGTAGCAAAATTACAGTGAAGTAGCAACGAAAATAACGTAATGGTTGAGGGTCACCACAATGTGAGGACCTGTACGAAGGGGTCACGGCATCCGGAGTTTTGGAGTTAGGTGCCACCTCTATGCAGATGACACACAACTCTACTACTCTTTTCCACCTAATTCCAAGGAGGCCTCTCGGGTGCTGGACGAGTGCCTGGCCGCTGTGTCTATCTGGATGAGGAAGAACAAGCTGAAGATCAATCCCGACAAGACAGAGGTCCTCCTGGTCGATCGTAAACCGGATCGGGGTATAGGGTGGCAACCTGTGCTGGACGGGGTTACACTCCTCCTGAAGCCACAGGTCTGCAGTTTGGGAGTCGTCTTGGATTCATCACTTACGCTTGAGGCTCAGGCGTCGGCGGTGTCCAGGAGGGCTTTCGCACAATTGAGACTCGTGCGCCAGCTGCGACCGTACCTCGCAAAGGTTGATTTGGCCGGGGTGGTCCATGCCTTAGTCACCTATAGGTTAGATTACTCTAATGCGCTCTACGTGGGGCTGCCCTTGAAAACGGCTCGGAAATTCCAACTGGTTCAACGGGCGACGGCCAGGATGTTAACTGGCGTTCCTTACAGAGAAAGGTCAACCCTTCTGTTTAAGGAGCTCCATTGGCTGCTGTTTACCTACCGAGCCCAATTCAAGGTGCAGGTGCTTACCTACAAAGCCCTAAACGGTTTGGGATCTGCCTACCTGCGTGACCGCATCTCCGTGTATGAACCCACTTGATCCCTTCGCTCATCCGGAGAGGTCACAGGCGCGTTTGGTGGGGATGAGGGACAGGGCCTTCTCTGTGGTTGCCCCCCGACTTTGGAACGCCCTCCCCAAAGACATTAGACAAGCACCTACGTTGGCAGTCTTTAGGAAGAACTTGAAGACCTGGCTATTCCGATGTGCCTTTCCAGAATAGGATAACCTCCAGCACTATGTCCCAGAAGCACTTTATTAGAGTTTAAGACTCTCTGCACATTGCACTTGCCCAGAATCCCAACATATCACCTCTTACACCCAGCACTTTTTTAACCTGTACCCTTCATTGGCCCGGCCCTGGTTTTATTGCGTAATAGTGTAATGTTTTGTTTTTGTTATTGCTTATGTTTTTAATTTGCTTGCATTGTATTGTTATTGTTTGTTGTTGTTGTTTGAGGCCTTGGCCTTTGTAAGCTGCATCGAGTCCTTCGGGAGATGCTAGCGGGGTACAAATAAAGTTTAATAATAATAATAATAATAATAATAATAATAATAATAATTAGGAAGGTTGAGAACCACTGCAATAAACCATGGCTTTCCGTCTCCTTTCTCCATCCCCACCATCACTCTCGGCTTGCAGCATCCCGTCTCCACGGTAACGTGGACCAGAGCTGTCCCCATCCTTGCCCTGGTTTTGCTCATAATAATAATAATAATAATAATAATAATAATAATAATTAGGAAGGTTGAGAACCACTGCAATAAACCATGGCTTTCCGTCTCCTTTCTCCATCCCCACCATCACTCTCGGCTTGCAGCATCCCGTCTCCACGGTAACGTGGACCAGAGCTGTCCCCATCCTTGCCCTGGTTTTGCTCATAATAATAATAATAATAATAATAATAATAATTAGGAAGGTTGAGAACCACTGCAATAAACCATGGCTTTCCGTCTCCTTTCTCCATCCCCACCATCACTCTCGGCTTGCAGCATCCCGTCTCCACGGTAACGTGGACCAGAGCTGTCCCCATCCTTGCCCTGGTTTTGCTCATAATAATAATAATAATAATAATAATAATAATAATAATAATTAGGAAGGTTGAGAACCACTGCAATAAACCATGGCTTTCCGTCTCCTTTCTCCATCCCCACCATCACTCTCGGCTTGCAGCATCCCGTCTCCA